TTCGTTGTTAGACATTTAATTGAAATCTGAGCTCAAGAAAGATCTCGCAGGTGGGGTTTTAGTGCTGATTAAGTGCATGAACGATTGCTGTATAGAAAGGAAAGACTTTTTTCATCTCGGACTCATTGGGAGAATCTGTTCTGCAGAATGACTGTGGTTTTCTGGGTCAGACGCACCAGCTGTGCTTCAGTTACAGCGTAGTCTGCTTGTGATGGAATAGGCGTTAAGTTGCAACTGGTGCACTGCTAACTATTTTTGCACAGATACTTTGTCAGTGACTGTGCTACTGGAATAATGGAATCTTAAAGTGACAGTACTCCCAAATGTGAAAATATACATATAAGAGAAGTTCATAAGACTGTCTTGAAACCTTCATAATCATTTATAATCATGACATTTCAATTCAATGTGAAGTGAGATTTTAGGCATGCTTATAACAACAGTCATAGGCTCGGTGTTGACTTTTTAAATGCAAAGATGACAATGCTGTGAGCTAAGCGGACAAATTGGTTGCATCGGGAAAGCCCTCCACTCGGAGGCGAGCCGTCGGCCGGCGAGCGCAAAGAGGAGGAGCGGAGCAGCGCCACACCGCCCTGCAGCGTTCACTCGAAAAAAACTAAACGCGGCCTTACTTACCTCCGGCCATGTAAATCGCGGTCTCCAGAAACGTCCACGGGGCTACGTTTCCAGAATGAGCTTGGGTTGGCTGGGTCAGTTGGTGTTTCTGTGTGGAGTTTGCATGTTCTCCCTGCGTTCGCATGGGTTTCCCCCACAGTCCAAAGACATGCGGTACAGGTGTATTGGGTAGGCTGAATTGACCGTAGTGTATGAGTGTGTATGGGTGTTTCCCAGAAATGGATTGTGGCTGGAAGGGCATCCGCTGCGTAAAACCATGCTGGATAAGTTAGTAGTTCATTCCGCTGTGGCAACCCCAAATTAATAAAGGGACTAAGCCGACAAGAAAATGAATGAATGAACTTGACAGTACCAAGACATCAAAACTGTCATAAATCTGTCATAAACATGATTGTGATGAAGCCATTAATGTTATGAATTTTGTAACGGCGTCATTCATGTGTTTTTTTTTTTTACCTTTTTGGTTTGGCTATTTTGGTGAAATCTTCATTTTCTCCATGGCAGGGTTGACATTTGCATGGAATTGCTCAATTGTGTTTATCTGGGAATGTCAAAGTGAACACCCAAAAGTGAAGCACGCTCTGCCCGGTCCATCAGTCAGTTTCATAGTACACTCACACTTCGTCTAACGAGTCTCAGTAGACAACATTAAGCCAATCACATGCATCAAAAGAAAGTAATTAACAGGCCCCTGACCAACACAAACTTGAGCAGATTCAGTCCTGAATAAGTGTGTGTCCAGTCTGAGAGAGTCCAGTCCGTCTCGAATAATCACACAATCCTGCCTATTATACCAGCCGTGCCAAGCGCTTCATCGTTGCCTAGCAACAGGCCGAAGGTGTAGCAGGTTAATTCTGTGAAAGCCAGGTGCATTATAACCCACATATGAGCCATAATGAGGTGCTCAGACGCCACAGATACATTAGCCCATTATTTATTTATGCCTGTATTACACAAAAAAGCTGCGATTTTTGTGTGTGGGCTGGACTGATTGTGCACACTGACAGGAGCATCAGTGAGTCTGAAAACTACAGTGAAGATGGGGTTAATGCAGATCTTAACCTCCTTAATTAACAACTGAAGACATAAAGCACTGATCATAATAATAATCTAGACCAGTGGTTCCCAACAGGGGGGTCCCGGCCCACAAGGGGGCTCAATGAGCTTTGTTAGAGGTCACGTCATATTTTTACAGTTTTTAGCAGTGGACAATAGAGTGGAGGAACTATGATGTCACCTTATAGGCTAATCGACTGCTAGCATAAAATTGGTTCCCTCAATAAAACCCTTATAGGATTTTCTTATAGGCTTTTCGAAGATTGTGAATAATGAGCTCTGTGTTCAAACACTGTTCATTACACTTACACGTCTTGTCCAGCCGGATAATCCTCACACCAGAATACAACTTTGAGCACTTTTGGATCTTAAATGCAAACGCAAGAACTGAAAAGCTAACATTAGGCTATAAACAGACTACACTGCCTTCAGGGCGCTCGCCTGTGACGCCAGCCCCACCCCGATATACACAACTTTATAAGCTTAATTTTAGAAATATGGTCCATGACAGGGGTAATCTCTCTGTTTATTAAATTATTCAATTCAATTCAGCTTTATTTGTGTAGCGCTTTTACAATGTAGATTGTGTCAAAGCAGCTTCACATAAATGGTCATAGTAACTGGATCAGGGTAGTTCAGTTTTTAGTGTTTAAGTTCAGTTCAGTTTAGCTCAGTTCAGTGTGATTTAAAGTCATTACTGAGAGTTCAAACACTGAAGAGCAAATTCATCGATGCGTAGCACAACCAATCCTGAACCATGCGAGGCAGTGGCGACAGCGGAGAGGGAAAAAAAACTTCACCTGATGGGAGTGAAGAAAAAAAACCTTGAGAGAACCAGACTCAGTTGGGCACGACCATTCTAATTTCTCCGCTGGCCAAAAGTCTTGTGCAGAGCTTCAGTCTCTTAAATTATAAATTAAATTAAATTATAACCCACGCTATATATTATAAACAAATAAATATGCAAAAACACATCTGTATATAGACCTACGTGCCTTTTGGATCGTGTTTTACGTGGGAAATGCATCTGTTTTAAAACTGCATGTATAAATGTGCCTACATGGTATTATCATTAGACATATTTAAATAAGAGTATCGCTTGCATGCACACAGCCTGCTTATCTAAGGCCCCGTTTACACTAATGCATTTTAGTTTGAAAATGCATAAGTTTTGCTACGGTTATGCCATCCGTCCACACTACGCCGGAGTTTTCGAGTGTCGAAAACTGAACGTTTTGAAAATGCTGGAGATTGTTAGAATAATGTTTTCATTCTAAAATGCTGCTGCTCCGTCTCTGTGTGGATGTGGAAAACGGAGCAGTGTTGCCAGATTGGAAATGTCAAAGTATCGTACCAGAACCTCAAAATTATTGTATTTGGAGGAAAATTATCGTACATGAGTCAAACTGAGAGTATACAGCTATTATCTAGACACATAACGTTTTGACACAACGTGCAAATGACCACAATACATAAAAAAAAAACTAGGTACCTTAGTGGGAAGGTTCAAACTCCACCTCTGAGTTGCTGTCATTGAATGTTGCATGTTGCCAGATGTTGAGGGATTTATTTTCCGTACAAATTGGGTGCCGTAATGGACTGCAAAATAGTGCTGGTTGGCTTGAAAGCAGTGCACACTCAGAGGTGTGCATGCTTTGTTTTAATTAGACTAACTTTGGAAAAAAACACGTTCACAAGACGCATTTAAATGGGGAAAAACGAGAACATCAGGGGAAAACTTGAAAACTCGTCCTGCTCACCTTCCTTTACAGCACGAATTGTTTTAACATTATTGCTTAAAAGATCGACCTCAAACTGAAAACTACTGACCTAACCACGGGCACGCGCAGCAGGAGTGTTAACTCGTGAGAGAGAGCCATTCTCCACGTTGATTGGCTGAGAAGAGGCAAAGTAAGATGAGATATAGAAAACGTGCCTAACTCCACCTACTCCTCACAGACAGCACAGAAAAGATGCAGCTAGATCAATAAGTAAAGAAGCCCGAAGATTCTAACGAAGTTACTATTAAATGCCATAAAATTCTGAAATTATTGTACATTATAGGATTTTTCTCATTATTGATTGTACATCGTACAGAGGTCGAAATTATCGTACAAATACAATATTATCGTACGTCTGGCAACACTGAAACGGAGACATCTGAAAACGGAGGCGGGGCTGCTGAGATTCGCTACCTGATTGGGGCTTTTGTTTCATTGCCTATCCTTCCCTTATTGGTCAAGCTCCTATCACATGACTATAACACATGGCTTTAACGCTACCGGAAGACAGCAGACCAGCCTTCAATGTAAACAACAACACGGACACAAATGGGAGCGTTGTTTGCACTATTGTTTGTTTTAGGCGCCATTGTGCAGTTATTCATGTGTTACGTTTAGAAACAACTCGACCTCGTATCATAACATTCACTGTTCAGTAACATTCAGTATCATAACATTCACTGATCATCATTATAGTAATCTAGATAATATGATACTTTGAGAGGTACATGCATTCAGATTTCACACCATGTTTGATATCATGTTTAATGTCATGTTTATTCAAATCAATTTTCATATGGGTCGCTTTTGGCTCTTCACAAGATTTTATTGGTCATTTTTTTCTTCAGGAAAAAACGTTTCCATTTTAAAATACATGAATAATAGGATATAAAAATGATTCAGTTATAAACGTTTCTCTTTTCTCTGACTCGTGCTATTGGTTTTGAGCTGGCCGAAAAGTTTAAACGGACTAAAATTAAACCTGCATCAATGTCCTGCTCCTCCCTGTGCTCTAAACTTGGATATGAGAAAGTATTTTAATCTTTTAAAATCACGCACAGTCGGCACGTGACTCAGTGGTTAGCACTTTTGCCTCACAACAACAAGGTCGCTGGTTCGAGTCCTGGTTGGGTCAGTTGGCATTTTTCCCTTTGTTGGCGGGTGCTCCGGTTTCCCCCACATGCGCTATAGAGGAATTGAATAGACTAAATTGTCCGTAGTCTATGAGTGTGTGTCTGAATGTGAGTGTGAATGGGTGTTTCCCATTAATTGCAGCTGAAAAGGGCATAAAACATATGCTGGAATAGTTGGCGGTTCATCCTGCTGTGGCGACCCCTCATAAATAAGTGACTAAGCTGAAGGAAAAAGAACGAATAAATGAAAATTATGCACATAACCTTTCAGTATGTCAGACAGTTTGACCCAGTGCAGGATTCTGTTCATTATATACGTCAGTGAGGCCCAAGTGGCCGTGTTTCTTGAGAATGAACTTTTTTGTGTGTGTGTGCTTTTTTTTTTTTTTGGCAGGTGTAAAGGACCGGCGGAGAGAGAAACGGACACCATGGACACCTTTGTGGATTCCTCCTGGTACTATTTCAGATACACTGATCCTCAGAACCCGCTGAGGTAAGGAAAGCCTCTCCGTCTGCTCTCTGTCTGACCCAGCAGGTGTTTGGGTGCACAGCGACCCAGTCTGAGTCGTTTCACTTCAACAAAACTGACTGCGAAATGTCACCGCATTGACCCGGCACACATTCTCACCAACACAATCAATAGCAGCATCACACATTAGCGCAGCGTCGACTGAACTGCACTGTCAAAGATATCTGTTGATGAACGGTTTACGAGTTTTGTGATGTTTTTAGTTTATTTGCGGTTGTGAATTGCATTATGGGATGTTGATCTCTGCTCTGTCCACTTTTGATATTGAAAATTCAACTCCACAGTTTAACAAAGTGACTTTTAGTGACATTTTAATAGTTTGAAATAATATTCAATTCAATTCAGCTTTATTTGTGTAGCGCTTTTACAATGTAGATTGTGTCAATGCAGCTTCACATAAATGGTCATAGTAACTGGATCAGTGTAGTTCAGTTTTTAGTGTTTAAGTTCAGTTCAGTTTAGCTCAGTTCAGTGTGGTTTAAAGTCATTACTGAGAGTTCAAACACTGAAGAGCAAATTCATTGATGCGTAGCTCTACCAATCCTGAACCATGGGAGGCAGTGGCGACAGCGGAGATGGAAAAAAACTTCACCGATAGGAGAGTGAAGAAAAAAACCTTGAGAGAACCAGACTCAGTTGGGCACGACCATTTTAATTTCTCCGCTGGCCAACAGTCTTGCGCGGAGCTGCAGTCTCAGCGAAGACTCGTCTGTCCCTGGAGCATCACTGGAATCAGTCTCATGCTCTCCACTCCCCCATGACCACCAGTGCAGCAGCAGCTCAGGATACGGCCTGGTCCCGGATTATGGAAACCTTGGGATCATCTCGTCGCTCTGAGTATCCCCAGGTGGAAATGGAGAAAAAAGAGAATAATTAGCGTAGCTGCTGTTCATAGTGTATATAAGCAAGATTAATATCATGGATAAGAAGTAATATCTAGAGAAATAAGTGTGGAAAGGAGCAGAAAATATGCTGCAGTTTATTACAAGGTGTTTGTAGTCAACACTCTCCGAAAAAAATGGTTCAATGTTGTACCAAAGAAGGTAAAAACCCTTGTCACTGGGGCAGTACCTATTTATTGAACATAATTGTACCTCAAGACAAAGAAACACAGTTGTACCTTTAAGGACATGATTTGTTCCATGGGAAACCAAACGGTACCTTTGGTTTTTAAAACCTGCAGATACAATATTGTGCCTTCATCACAGGTACAAATCTGATCCATGAAGGCACCACACTCTCAGAAATAAAGCTCCGGCAGCTGTCACTGGGGCAGTACCCTTTTAAAGGATACATTTTTGTACCCAAATCGTCCACGGTGATACCTAAAAGGTGCATATTAGTACCCAAATGTACCTAAAAGTACCTTTATGGACCCTTCAGATATTAGTTCCTTTTAGAGCTTTTCATGTTTAAAAGTTGTTGGAGGAAAGATTAAGGGCCCATAATGCACTTCAAAAGCATAAATAATCACATCACAAATTAATCACCAATTGAGAAAATCTGCTAATGCACAGATATGTTTTATAGTGTGGAAGGAAATATTTAAATTATTTTATTAGGATAAACCCCTTAATCCCATTTTCAAAGAGGGTCCCACAGTGTATCACAATCACATAATAACACAAGAAAACAAAATATTTCCCAAATGATGTTTAACAGATTCAGGAAATTTTCACAGTATTTCCTATAATATTTGTTCTTCTGGAGAAAGTCTGATTTTGTTTTATTTCGACTAGAATAAAAGCGTTTTTTAATTTTTTAAAAACCTTTTTAAGCTCAATATGATTAGCCCCTTTGTGCTATATTTGTTTTCAGTTGTCTACAGAACAAACCACTGTTATACAATAACTTGCCTAATTACTGTAACTTTACCCTAATTAACCTACTGAAGCCTTTAAATGTCACCTTAAGCTGAATACTAGTATCTTGAAGAATATTTAGTCTAATATTATTTACTGTCATCATGACAAAGAAATCAGTTATTAGAAATGAGTTATTAAAACTATTATGATTAGAAATGTCTTGAATAAATCTGCTCTTCCTTTAACAGAAATTGGGGAAAAACATACAAGGAGGGCTAATAATTCAGGGGGCTAATAATTCTGACTGTATATTAAATTTGCAAAATGCAAATATTACAGGGGAGAAAAAAAGCGTTACAAGATTACAAGAGTTATTACAAGAAAAAAGTAAGTTCGCTCATTAGTTATTTCATGAATTGTACATTTAAAGAAAATAATGATTTGGTAACACGTTAGATTGGGTAACACATATTCACTGTTAAGAGTTTTTCCTCCATAAACAGCTGATTACTGGTTATTTATAGTGCACTGTGAAAATATGTGTTGATTAACAGTGTTGTGATTCGTGCATGTTTCCTGTTAATTATACAGATTGCATTATGGGAGTTTGATCTCCAACTTTTTTAAAGATGTGACTCTCATTGACTTTTTGTGGTTCAAAAACTACCAACACAAGCAGATTAAGTCAACATCAGTTTTGTTTTTGTTTTTTTATTTTTTTTTATTTTGTACAAATCTTAGTGGTTTGAACACAAAACAATGACGTTGTCATTAAAACATCCTCAGGAATGTGTTTATTCAGCTCATTTTAAAGAAGTATTTATTTATCTATTTAATCTTTTCATGAATATATATTGGTGAAAGTATCTTTTCTGTTGTTTTACAGACTTAGTTCTTTATATAAGTTATTTATTTTGCAATAGATGGTTTCAAACTAAATAAAAGTCACTTTATTCTATAAACTTTTTATCAGAATTTTATTTACAATTAAATTTGATTACATTAAATTACATTAGAATAATGTAGAATGATGCATTATAATGTGCTGCATAAATAATACAACCTATATGCTAGTAATACTCATGGTAATAAGCAACTAGTCAATGCTTAATCTATGTGTTCCCTAATCTAAAGTCAAATTGGCATCATTTCGAAATCTACTTTCAGGCCGCTCTATTTATTAAACGGATGCACATTTGCATTAATTGTAAAAAAAAAACAACATTTCTGTCTACATAAGCTGTTGCAGTGCTGATCCTTATATCCAGTCATGATAATGTATCTGAGTGCTTAAACCAGGCCCGGATCAGGTCCTCTTCACTTCTTTTTGTGATTTTTACAAATCATAATGGCTGATATTGGGGTGTATTTTCAGAAAAGCTTTGTCATTCAGGGTATTGCAGTTATTATGCAACATTAGTTATTATCAGTATTGTGGTCTTCAGCCTATTACAGATTTGTGTGCTGGGTTTGATTTTGGAGGCTTTTGCTTTATGAGGAGCTGAACATGCTGCCTGTGAAATCCAGCAAGTTATTGCAAAATAATCCCTGAATCTTCTCGATGCAGTCCTGCTGGGGTTTGTTGTGTGGTAATAAATAGCTGGATGTACTTTATTCTGCAAGCGTCAACTTTCAAAATGTTTTTTTTAAGCAGCAAAGCAATAAAAGTGTGATGTAAGCTTATTTTATAAAGAAAACGCTGAGTTCCACACAGCCAATTTGCATTAAGGCAACATTTAATAATTACATTGAATTATTCGTTTTTACAAATTTAAGTGGATTGAACATAAAAATATTAAGTTCTCCATATATATATATATATATATATATATATATATATATATATATATATATATATATATATATATATATATATATATATATATATATATATATATATATATATATATATATA